TCATGCATAGTTCTTCCGACCTGCGCTGAGGACGTCTCGAAGACCCTTAGACTTGTGGCTGAGAGCAACAGCCCCTTTACCGTCAGGAGTGGAGGGCACACCGCATTCGATAAAGGATCCAACATCCAGGATGGGGTCGTCATCAACATGGCCTCGATGAACGATATCCAAATCTCACCCGACCGATCTACTGTCTCAGTTGGACCTGGTGCTCGGTGGATCAATGTCACCGATGCTGTAACTCCCCACGGAATCGCTGTCGTTGGCGGTCGCAGCCCGATGGTCGGCATTTCAGGTTTTCTGCTCGGCGGTGGCATGTCGTTCCTCACCGGCAGACGAGGAATGGGCTGTGACAACGTTCGCAATTACGAGGTTGTGCTCGTGTCCGGCGAGATCGTCAAAGCCAATCCGTTGGAGAACCAAGACCTGTACTGGGCATTGAGAGGTGGGGGCGGTTCCAGTTTCGGCATTGTCACTCGATTTGACCTTGAAGCATATGCGCAAGGCGACGTTTGGAGTCGGCTTTCCGTGTGGCCAGCAAACTACACGACTGCGGCTTTGAACATATTCACGAAAACAGTCAAAGAAAAGCTGCATTCGGGACAAGACTTGGACTCGCATATGTTTTTCGGCCTGACTTACAATGGCATGGCTACTGGCGAACCAATTCCAACACTTTACGGCTTTCATATGAACCTATCCTCTCCGCACGCACCTGGTGGCGAGTTTGATACAATGAAAGGGCTTTTCCAGCTCCCGATGCCCCTCATCAACAATACGCTCATTACAGACATTTCCGGTCAGATCCGCACCACCTCAGTAACTGTCTTTGGCGAAAGACAATCATTTTACGCAACGTCTATTCGTGATGGCGAAAACAGCGAGAGCTTTATGAGCAGTGTGGTTGACGCTTTTATCACCTTTGCTAGCGAGCTCAGGGCTAATGTTGAAGCTCGAGGTGACTCGCTCAATGTTACGATGGTCTTCCAGCCCCTGACCAATCCGACATTTGAAGCAATGCAAAGGAATGGCGGCAATGCCCTGGGCCTGTATCCCTCCGATTTTCCTTCCTATATCGTGTCAGTGCCCATGGCTTGGTCCGACGCAGCCCTTGACGACATGATTGATATGAGAACAAACCAGTTCATAAAAGACCTGGACGCCATGGCTCAGAAGCAAGGATATGGGAATGGCTTTGAGTACATGAACTATTCTGGGAAGCTTCAAAGTGTCATTGAAAGCTATGGCAAGGTCAACCAAGACAAGCTTCGAGCGATCGCTGCTAAATATGATCCGAATGGGCTGTTGCGGAAGCTCTGGACGGGCTACTTCAAACCGTAAAGCTGGCTAATAGTTTAAGATATTGAAGAGGGTGGTTGCTCCTAGTAAGAGGCTCTTCAAGTGTTAAAGTAGGGGCACTAGTACTTTGTAGTCAGAAAGACCAATAGTATCCTTATCTGAAAACAAATTCTCGGGTAATGAACGAGCACAACGTTATGGAGTATCTACGGACGACCCTGTCAGCATGTACCCATAACAACAATTACGGCATGGATACTGGAGCTCACTTGGATCCCACCTCAACATCGACGGTTAATTAAGAGGCTCCAAGGTGGAATTTGAAACTTACTTTCGGATTTCCCATTACTGCGAGTTTGCCTAATTGTCATATTTTGTTTCAAATCAAGGGGTAAATGCAATGTTTTTGTTAATATCCCTATTACAGAGATTCTGGTTCGAACCGTGAGTTAACGAAGAGTTCAATTGATCTTTATTAACTTCTGCGTAATGTGGAAAAGGGAGGTTCCAACCGCAGGTTGGGCAGGCCGCGATTATCGTAAGTACGGTCTGTTAGTGGCCCCTGCGCGGGCCCCTTGCCCCGAGGTCGAATTGGACTTCCAATCCGACAGTTTTGCTAACAAGAGTGGTAAAATCATCAAGCTCTTCCATGGCACACAAATTTCCGTGTACAAATGTCAAGCAGTGATCGTTACTCATTTTGTATTAAGTTGATTATTATTGCAAAGCAACGTTCTTAGTGGTGACCTATTCCATTAAGAGCTTAAGAGGGACCATGAGCCTAGATCTTCGCTTTCAGACGACGTGCTTGTTAGTAATGACGTCTCATGAAGCTAATGCAAGATCAGAAGGAGCGAAATGAACTAGTTTCTGTAGAAATAAGTGACGAAGCACAGAGAGCGGATGATTACTCATTTAGTTGTCCGCTTTTTGCTCGGAATCTCTGCGGAACCTCCGCGGAATCTCCATAGGTACAGCGAGTCTTATATGATAGGGACAGCTAGCCATACACCGCTTTATCATTACCACAACTTGGCTTAGTAGCGATTTTGCTGGGCGGAGAAACACATAATGTCGACGGCTTATGAACGCTGAATGTTTGATTTGTGTCGCCACCTGACAGTCTTGCTCTCCCATTCAACTATCTTCCCACGCAAACGACATCTGTCTGTTGGTTGTTTTATCATGTCTCCCAGTGATGTGAGAACCACCCAAGGCTGCAAGATCACCAATTCAGGCTAGCGAAACAGATGGGAGTCCCTCCGGTGGGATGCAGATCTGTCTCTGCCTGAGCTAGGACCCTCTGATGGTTTGGTCAAGATTCGAGCCGCTACCATGGATTTTCGTGACATAGCAACAGATTCTTAACGTGTCTTCACCCAAGTATATACAAAAACTTCAGAATTGACGTGTCCTAGTTCTTGAGGGCTCGAACGGGACAGGCTTTGCTGTTGCAGAAGCTGTCCTTGAACATGGAGCTGATGTCATTATTAGCTCTTCAAACCCTTCGAAGATTGACCAGGCCGTCTTTCGATCACACGACCATCTAAGAGGCATTGAGCTTCCCTATCGACGCATTCGCGGGATTGATTGTAACCTTACGAGTGCCGACAGACTTGAGCAAAGTCGGGAAGAGCTGCTAGGATATGTATCAAAGGACGGAAAACTTGATCACGTCGTCTACATGGCAGGCGATATAATTCGAACTAAAATCCTCTCCGCGACTAGCGTATAGGATATCTGCGCCATGAGTATGGTGCGAGCTGCCGCTGCAATCATTTTGGCCATGCTTCTTCCTAAGTATTTCAGTCAAACCGTCCGCAACTCCTTTACTCTAAATGGCGGAGGAATGTCTTAGCGCCCTGATGTAGGCTGGTCGGTCACGGCAAGTGTGGGTGGAAGCATCGAAGCACTTGCTCGTGGCCTGGATGTAGACCTTGAGCCAATTCAAGTCAACTGCTCAGCCAAGTGCAGTTTATACACCGTTACTCAGCGATATTCCTGCTGAATAGCTAGAGCAGCTCCTAGATGGAATAAAAAAGGATACTGTCACGCAGACGATTAGAACCCCAGAGGTTTAAGCAGAGGTTTACTTGCTTTTTACATGAAGAATGCATTTGTAACTGGGGCGGTAGTTAACTGTGATAGAGGAAGACTTATCGGCGATTCCAAGAATTGAGGTAGCAGTTAACCAGTTTGGAAGTATTATATAAGTTTGTGTTACAAAGCCGAGGTAGCGATAATGTTGTCTGTGGACACGTCCTACTTTGTAGCCTGCTCTCAAAGTGTCTGTAGTCAGAGCTCGCTTGCGGTCACGAGTAGAACCCTAGAATGAAAAATTAATGCCGAGGATAGCCTTGTGCTCAAGATGACCTCTGCAAGCGTGAGCGGGTGTTTGCTGCTGTTTTCTAAAATTTTATCCCCAACTATAATGTCATTTAATTCAGTCTCAACTTCTTCCAACCTACCTCTACGACTAGCTACCACCACATTTGGTATCCTTAATCAAGCTTCTTTCAAATCCCTGACATCAATACTAATTAGAAATAGCCAAGATATCCATTTTTATGACGATAAACTATTTCGAGAACTCTCGTTCTCGGAAATATCGTTTTCGAAAATCTCGTTCTCGGAAACACAGTTCAGCCAAGACTTTTTGGGTATGGGTAGGGATGATAGCGAAAGATACCCAAAAATGTTAAACTATGGATCTGTTGATTTCTATAGAAAAACGACATCAAATGAGAGATTGCAAACAAAGGCCCCAAGTATAAGAACGCTGCGTCCAGGAGCCTCCATTCTCGTTTCCAGACACCACAGCCACCGCTGTTATTCCAGTCTTTTGCCGCCTCGATCTACTACAGTTGACTATCCCAGCACATTCTGTATTCAACCTCAGCTCATCAATATGCGTTTCACCGCAATCATCTTTGGTACTGAGGAGCCCATCGCGCCGTATGCATTCAGCTACTGACACTTTCTATGCTTCGCAGCCATCCCCGCAATGGCCCAGAGCTTCAATGGCTTCTGCAGCAACGGCAACAACCCGAGCCCGGAATCTGTCCAGCGAGCATGCTGTCCTGGGACGGTAACGAACTTTATAGGCGACTGGCAAGTAGGTTTACTGGAACCCTCGACCGCCTCGACAAATACAATCTAACAAATCACAAGTGTTGCATGACATCAGCACAGTACAGGGCTAGTTACTTCGGTTGTTGCACTGGGCGTGGTCTTTCCCCACAACTGTCTGGGAATAGCTGCTGAGCATTCCAGGATGTGACTGAAGATACTTGTTCTCGCGTATCGCTACTGGCTGGGCATCTTGAGCGTAATACGACACAGTTGTCTTGAGTATACAGGTTGTATTTCCGTGGTTACACTTTGTGCGCGGAAGAGCAAAAAATAAAATGGTATGATAAGACAAATCACGAGCCACTTGGTCTGATTAACTCTGAATAAACTTGGGATAAAAACCCGAGGATGGACACCGCAGAGCAAATGGCTAAGGTTGACTACTTAGAAGACCTACAAGAGGGAGTGGCATAATGTATTGCACTGTTCAACACTACCGTTCTATATTACTAAATGATTGCTGTAGTACATGTAAATATGACCCTGCCCCTGACTTCGGCACTGTCTTACCCCAGCCCCTTTGCTAGCCCTTCTTTCCTCCTTTCCTCCTTTCCTCCTTTCCTCCTTTCCTCCTTTCCTCCTTTCCACTCTCTTCCTTTCCACTCTCTTCCTTCGCTAAGTGAACGCTAGAATCGCAGTTTCGGGGGCTTGTTTGTATGCTAGTGCTACTGTCTGGAGGTTTGCAACACACTCTTGTGGGAACCTGGAGTCTTGCTATCGCGGAGTTAGCGGTAGATGTGCCGGGGCACTCTAGCAATCTTTTAAATAGATTTCTAATGTTATCTAATGCTATCTAAGTCGTTGATCCTCGGGTTAAAGGAAGTTAGGACGCTGTATTAACGCGGGATACGTTCTTATTTTCAGCAAGTATGTTGCTCTTGGGGTGGGTTATATTGACAATACTTTGCAGATTATGCCTAACGGTTATAACGATGTCGGCGTTATCCTCTAGTTCTTTTGCTCCTTATCTTGGGCTCGTCTTAGTTAATAATATCTCGGTAAGCTTTCGTAGCTTAATAATCTTCTCCTCGCAGAGTTGAAGGCTTTTATGCCTCTCGAAGAGACCTCAAGGGAGTCATAATTAAGCCTTCGAGCTATCAAAATGAAAGCCATTAGTGGGGCGAGCCTCGATAGGAAGCAGTGAACGATATCGATCGCTATAACTCAAGGCGCAGGCACCGGCTATCAAGAACTTCATGCTCTTGTTAGAGGCGCTAAGAAGACGAAGCGCTCAGCTACCGCTAAATACTTCGTGTCGTTCCGCGGTCGGCTTATGTTCCGAACCGTCTAATACCTTCTTAACGAGATAGTTATATCAACTAAGATTAATATATAGGCACACTACGACGGTTTTGACAAGAAGAGTAATAACGATTACATCACGGGCTAGTACGACTTGAAGAATCAAAATAACGAGCCGAACCTCGTAAATGCTAAATAAGGGAAGTCCATTTATTTGCAGCGCTCGCAATGGCAAGCAAACTAGGATGCTTCGACTATAAACATTTGGCCATTTGGTAAGCTAGGGAGGTTACTGACCACCTACAGACATGATAGGATCGCCCTCGGATGTATACTTGAAATATCCACAATGACAGCCGCCGGTAATCATTTTAAGGTAATGATTCTGTTGATGCCGCAAGTCAATCTGGAGTAGCGATGCCGATTGGGACTGAACAAAAAGAAAACAATGGGAGAAAAGCTCGGAGGGAAAATGGGGGCAAGGGCACGATACGCACCTTTTCCGGTGCTCGACGTCCTTTTTAAGCATAAAGCGAACTGTTTTCCTTGATAAGTTTTATATGATTGTAAATCACGGAAAAGTAATAATGTCCGAAAACTCCGAGATTAGGGCACGGCCTAATATCTATACCGAAGAACCAAGGAGTTCTGGCCATATCTCCACCCTTGATTAGTAAAACATATTGCGAGAGTCATTGCCGGCTCTTGTAGCTATGCATACACAGCACGGACGAAGCGTTGGACGATCTGTCATTCTAGAGTCGGGAAGGTTTTACCTCGTTGCGTCATAATCGTCTGTAAGCAATTCAGCGTGCTTTTGGCTTGCGGAGATCGATTTCAACATCAAGGACTGGGGTTTGTGAGCTTATTGCTGATTAATTGAGCCGAACACAAAGAAAGACGATCTGTATTTATTCATTAAGAAGGAGAGAAGATTGACGCTCTCAAAGATTTTTGTTAATTCTTATACATTAACTTTGGATCATAACCCTGAATCAAATTGTCAATCCATCTTCAATACCTATATCGATCGAGTTAGGAGCCATCATGAGTCTTGACAGTCGCCCTCGTTACTCCTCCCCCGACGCCAGCGCTGAGCCCCTGAGCCAGCCTCTGGAACTTCCCTTTTCCAAGCGAATGGTACCCAATAGGTTTCTAAAGGCTGCCATGTCCGAAGCTCTTTGCTCGTGGGATCCGGTGGACCCCTCGAAACGGGGCGTACCCTCACCAGAACTCGCAACTCTGTACCGCCACTGGGCAGAAGGTGGTTGGGGCCAGATCGTGACGGGCAACATCATTATCGACAATATGCATCTCGAGGCAAGGGGAAACCCTACTATTCCCAAGGATGCACCTTTTGAAGGCACTCGCTTTGAAGCCTTCAAAGCCCTGGCCGAGGCTGGAAGGAGCGGCAATGGTCTCTTGGTGGGCCAAGTATCGCACGGTGGGCGTCAGGTTGATGCAAGAATTCAGCCTGAGCCAGTCAGTGCGAGTTCTGTCCAGCTTTTCGCCCCGATGATGGGTGTCACTTACGCCAACCCCCGAGCTGCGACAGAGGAAGATATCAAGGACATCATTGAAGGTTTTGCCCACGCAGCTCAGTATCTCGAAAAGGCTGGATTTGATGGGATACAGCTTCATGCAGCTCATGGCTACCTTCTCACCCAGTTCCTCAGTAAGACCACCAACAAGCGAACCGACAAATATGGCGGTAGCCTCGAGAACAGGATGCGTTTATTGCTCGAGGTTGCTACTGAAGTCAAGAACAGAGTCTCAAAGACCTTTGTCGTGGGTATCAAGATAAACTCTGTTGAGTTCCAAGCCGACGGATTTCAGCCCGAAGAGGCAACGGTTCTCTGCCAAGCCCTCGAACGTGCTGAGTTCGATTACGTGGAGCTCAGCGGAGGAACCTACGAGAAGCTTGGGTTTCAGCACTACAGAGAGAGTACCAGGAAGCGGGAGAATTTTTTTATCGAGTTTGCCGAGCAAATTGTGAAACCGCTCAAATCACTCAAGGTTTACACGACAGGCGGTTTTAAGACTGTGGGAGGAATGGTCGACGCTATGAAGACGGTTGACGGCGTCGGTCTTGGCAAGGCTGCTGGACAGGAGCCAAGACTGCCGAATGATCTCCTCGCGGGCAAATTTACAGGAGTAGTCAAACCTGCTTGGGATGAAAACAATCCTGGCACCGGACTGTTCATCACTGGTGCCCAGATCAAGCGTATCGGTCAGGGCAGTGAGCCTCTGGACTTATCGGACCCCGAACAGACAGAAGGTATTATGAACGACATCCAGGCCCACTTTGCTAGGCTAACCGAAGATGAGCGAGGGTACTACTATGGAACAGTACCAATCTCCAGAGCTACTGTTCCCTACGGATATGTATAGGTAGAATAGATAAAAATAGTTTAAAGAAGCTATCTATAACTATAATACTATTTAGTTAGTATTATAGCTTTGACTTTAATTAATAACTAACGTACTTTACTAGTCAGCGACGCATATTAATTAGCGACGCACTTTTTCCTACCTTTTAAATATTTTATAAATTTATATAACTATAATATAAAAATTTAATTAGCTCTTATTAATATCTAAATTACTAAACGATTCTATATTTTTAAAATACGTTCGCATATTATAGCCTATTTTACTATATATACCGCAACGCCGTTAAGCTGACTAACCTTTTTTTAAAGGACCCCTTTTATTACTTTTTTAAAGCGCTAGCCGTTTCCTTTTACCCTTTTTTTTTAAAATAACCTAAGATTTTTTTATACTAAGTACTCCTCTAAACTAAACGTATATCTTTTTCGCTCTCCGGCGCTTAGTAAGCGCTATATTAATATCTTAAAGTATATATACTTAATCTATTAAAATCGTAATTAAGTACGCTATTATTTACGTACCCTTTACTAGCTAGTCGACCGCTTTAATTATTAGTATTAAAGAGCTTCTTTAATAAGCTAAGATCTAACCTTTAATAAAGTTAGATTATAAAAGCGCTTCGTAGTGGTTAAAGGGCGTTTACGATTATTAAATTAATAATATTAAAGGGTCGGTTATAAGAGGTATAGGTATCCGTATATATATATCGAGCTTCTTAATTATATACTTTAAGTCCTATAATAAAATACTAGCTCTATAAAAAACGGATTTAATATTTTTATTTATAAAGATCTTATTATAGGCCTTATAGAAGGCAATAAAAAACTCGGACTTCGTAATATAGTTAACGAAGGATTTAATAAATAAGTTAATTTCGTCCCCGTATATACGTTTTAAAAGTAAGTAAAGCGTAATATTTAATAGCTAGAGTAGGTAAAATAAATATAGAAGTATACTAACGGTTATAATACTATTCTATTTATAGTATTTATTAAATTCGGCTAATAAATAGCTCTCGTACCTATTGATTATAAATATACGATAAATACTTTTTATATAAGCCCGAGTATACTTATTAAAATATTTAATCTAGTCTAGGCTAGTTTTATTATCGGTCTATTTATTAATAATCGGTTTAATTACTTAGTCGCTTAGAAAGCTTAATTCCGTCGACTAGTTAGTAAAGTAATAGGACCCTTAAATAATTATAAAAGGCGGGATATATTACCCCCTCGAATTAATATATTTAATAACTATAACCTATTTACGATTACTAGGCTAAACGGATTTCGCTTTTCTATATCTATTAATACGCGTAACGACTATTAAACCGGTAATAACGCCTATTATAAAGCTAGTCTCGTCGAAGTTATATAGATCCTCGTTATTAATACCGTATTTAGTTATTATATTACCTAATAACGCGAACTACTTAGAAATAACTTCTAGATCCTTTTAAAGTGCCCTTTAATAATTATATAGACAATTAAATTTAGTTTTTAAAGTCGGCTATGAGTCGATAAACCTCTTAGCCTAATACTTCTTAACGGGCGTCCTATTCCGCGTCTATAGTAAGAGATTCGCTATATTTTCTATATTAGTAAATTGTAAAAGAAACCCTTTAAAATCCTATTTAATAATGTATTAAAGAAGTGTTTTCTTTTTAATTAGATTAAGTTTATATCGTTAGGGCTAGATACGGTTGCGGTATAGTCGATTATTTATTTTATAGTATATAGTACTTTCGGGGATATTATATATCTTCGTAGCGCGTTATATACTAAGATTCCGGCCTATAGTACGCGTCGATCTAATTGCCTTAATAATAAGAATAATTTTATCTTTTCAAGTATAAATTAGTATTGTAGTTATTAAGTTATTACGTGTTAAAGGTTTAAATAGTTAGGAATAAAGCGCGTCTTAGAAAAAGTGCGTCGCTAATTAATATACGTCGCTGACTAGTAAAGTACGTTATATTTATTATAATTAGTTAGCTATAATAAATACGAACTTAAGTATTAAGTAAATTAAGTTCGGAGTAGGTTTTTTATATTTTAAGTAAGGAACTAAAAGTAATTTATTTCAATATAAAGAGAGAATACCAACAATAATAACTTCAGTATTACTGTTTTTAATTCTACTAGATATAACTATATATAGATATAACTTCTATGAAACTAATTAGTTATTTAATTGTATTTTTAATTTTGTTATATTATATTTGTCCTTAAAAGTATTGTTTATATACTATTATTTATAACTACTTGTTTTTATTACTATATACTCACTAAAATAAAAATATAATCATTAATTAGGTTAAGTTAGTAAAATAATATATATTACGTTAGCGTAAAAACCTTTTTGAAAAAATAGATTTACGAAACCAAGTAATAAGAAATAAATCAAAAAGAAGTAGTTATATAATAGACTTCCTATTAAGCTGGCGAGAGTTTAATATAGCACTGCCTCGGCTGTCTAGAAAGCCTCTGTGTAGTATCATATGAGCTCAGTTCCTGGCCACATGATTCGAGAACAAAATTCCAAAGGAAAAGCACCACCATTATTCTCAGCTCCAGATAAGCCATTGCCCGTCCAAAACAAGCTCTCGGCCCCAGCCCAAATGATAACGTAGGGCCGGCACGTGAGTCATATATCCACTCACCGCTGCTTTCGTCCTTCCTAAGCCAGCGCTCCGGCTGGAACTCGTCCATATCGTCGACTGACCACTCTCTGATTTTCGGGCTTTTACCATATCGGGCGGTGCGGCTCCTCTGCTCCTCGTCGACTTTTATTGGGGGTGTGAAGATTCCGGGACCATTGGGCACACAGAAGACCTCGGTTCCTTTCGGTATGTTGAAGCCTAACAGCTGGGTGTCGACCAGCGCCTGACGGACCACGCCGCCGCCAACCACGGATACGCGGATGATCTCCTCCAGACATGCGTCCAGATAGGCGATAGGAGTTCCCGTGATTTCAGCGACACTGGGCTCGCGGTCTTCGGAGACGGCTTGTGAGTAGGCTTTGTGCAATTCTCCGCGGAGACGGTTTTGGGCCTGGGTGTTATCTGAGAGATACTTCACGCCCCATGACATGGTCGCGGCGGTGGTGTCGTGTCCCGCTATGATGAATGCAAAGATCTGTATATAGTCGCACGGTCAGTTCGTCTTCTTTCAAAGGCTGCTAATGGTATTTTCCTCCCTAATAGAGACATTAGATCATGCAAAGGTTTTTACCTCATCGCGGATATGTCGACTATAATAGTCTGGTGAACGATGTTCCTTCTCTGCAACTTTTTGTTCATGGTAAAGAATGTCATCAATAGCTGAGCGGTTCGTTTTCTGCCCAGTTTGCAGTCGCTCTTCAGCTGCATTGATTCCTCTCTCAATCAGATCTTCCTTGAGCCGTAGCGCTCGGCAGAACCGCCTGGTTTTACTGATGACCCAGAATGCCAACCGAGGGATGGGGAATTTGATAGTGATGTCATTGAGATCCGTGAGAGTTAGGATAGCCTCAAAATCCTGGGGTCGCGAGGCCTGAGGGAATCTCGCAGGATCATTGACGCTCGCGGGAAGTCTAATGGAATCAGTCTGGGAAAGGAGGAGATTGAGTTGTTTGCTGGTCGAACTGTCTTTCTCATCAAGGCCGAACGTGCTTGCGAAAGCGGCATCGAGCGTTCCATTGAAGATGTCTGAATTTGCAGGAAATGGCCTGCTTTGCCCTATTTTCATCTTTGTGCGCCAAAGCTTGACCATGGTGCTAATACAGGCATAGATGTGATGAGATTCAACCTGTACGGTGGTAAGACTCCACAAATTTGATCCACCCATAGTTCAGTGACTCTCGTCACCAGGAGATGTCTCCATACCTCGTTGAGAAACTTTGAGGTCATGAGATTGTCTATCAAAGATTTGTTCCGTTTGAATTCTGCAGACTGAGATCGCATGTGGGGATGAGCATCCGGTAGTAAACCTCCAAGAATCTCCCCGTTGAATCGACTTCGGTCAAACTCCTTGGTACGCCGCGTCATGATGTCACGGCTTTCTCTGTAGTCGGCCAACAGAACCCATGGTTTTTGAAATGGACGTATAAAAACTTGGACTACAGGGCTCTCTAGTCGACGGTTCTGCTGTGCGAGCCAAGTAAAATATTCGCCGTGTTCCTTAGCATAGGCAAGCATCTCAGAGAGATCTCCAAAGAGACGGCTGGTAACATGCTTGTTGTGGGGTATGCCAGGGAGCAGTTTTGGAAGGAAGAACTGACGAAAAAGATAGATCAGGATCAAAACAATCCCGATAATGTGAGCTGATGGGAAAACGGTGAAGGCCGACATATCTAGAATTGAGGTCGCTATATCCTTTGGTATGTGAAGACTGATAAAACTATTATCCCATTGTAGAACTAGGAGTTCCTCATAGGTCATCTTACAGTTAGTAAACCGTAATCTCTCTTTTTATCAATATCAAGACCTCTTCCACTATACAAAGGTTATCTTACTGCTAAGTCATTAGACGGCAGTTTACCAATTGTTAAATGCTGAAACCCTATTTTTGCGCTCCGAATATCCACAAAATTCTCGGCCCGGGCGATCTCAATAAAGTTAAAGTTGTCGGTGCCCCATTTTAAATAGCCAAAGTAGATTCGTTGGTTGCACAGTTTCGGAGTGCTCCCAGTCGGAGGCAAGCAGGTGGATAAGGTAAAGCTACGTTCCTCGGAGGAAAGTACTACCTCTTTGGCCGGCGACACATGCAGGTCGGCGACTAACTACCAGCTCGGAAGAAATATGTCGCAGTCTTGGGTATGAACTCAGTCGATCAGCTCCGAACCTCATTCCGACGCTCCGATCTAGTTATCAGGACACGCAACGGTACGTAATGTAAACTCTATCTTATCATCTTACCCCCAATAGTTGCGTCAGGAGAATATGTCATACGAAGATCAGGTGAAATATCCTCAGTGAACCTATTTTCTCGAGTTGAGTGTCGGCCACTTGACTTTGCCTAATAGTAATTTTTCGTATTGCGGCATCTATCTCTCAGGTATTGCACTCGACACGGTTGAGAGTGATGCCCATGCCTACTTTCTCGAGCATATGGACGCAGCTACGGCCACCAGAGCCAGACTTTACCGAGAAGAACTTGCCGGACCTCGCTGGAAAGGTAAGGTTGCTAATTTTCTATTCATATATAGCTGTGAAAGACCACGCTGTAGGAAGAATGACTAACAGTCAATCACTTCATACGTCGGGCAGGTCTATATCATTACTGGTGGCAACACTGGGATTGGTAAGGAACTTGCACGGATGCTCTATTCCAAAAATGGGACCATCTACGTTGGAGCACGGTCTGAGGAAAAAGCGGAGCGGGCAATAGACGACATTAGACGCGCGGAACCGAACTCCACGGGCGCCTTGGTCTTCCTTCACGTTGACCTAGCCGATTTACGCACCATCAAATCTTCGGTCGAGAGCTTCACCTCGCGAGAGAACAGGCTTGACGTCCTCTTCAATAATGCCGGCATTCAGGCGCCAGGCGGCGGTGCTGAACCAGCTCAGACCACGCAGGGATATGAGATTCACCTCGGGGTCAACACGATCGGGACCTTTCTCCTGACTAGGCTACTGACGCCGACACTGGTAGCGACAGTACGCTCAGCACAGACCGATGCCGTACGCGTGGTATGGGTTTCGTCGTCGGCGGCCGAGTTCTTTGGGGAGAAGAGCGTGGGCCTGCCGGTGGACGATCTCGACTACCACAACAGCCGGCCAGCGCTGCACCGTTACGGGCTGAGCAAGGCCGGCAACTGGCTGCATGGCGCCGAGTTCGCCCGTCGCCACTGCGCTGATGGTATCGTTAGCATCCCGCTCAACCCTGGCAACGTCAACTCGGACTTGTACCGCGACCAGAACTTTATCATGCGGCGAATTGTAGCGAGTTTCACGCATTCGCCCGTCTATGGTGCATACACCGAGCTTTTTGCTGGACTGTCACCGCAGGTCACGATGGAGAAGACTGGTAGCTGGGGTGAGTTTGCAAGAACCTTGTTCATTGCTTCATTACATTGCTGTCATAAGTTATGTCCCGACTCTGTATTTGGCAGGGGTCTTAGAAAAGGATATGAGTACGGCCTGAAACTAATCTTGCGGGATTGTTAGTTGGTCCTTTTGGACGATTCATGCCAATCCGAAGTGATCTTATGGATGCAACAAAAGCTCAGGCGGAAGGTGGCAATGGACATGTGAGGAAGGTTTGGGACTGGACGGAAGACCAAGTTAGCAAGTACATGTAACATAGAGTGGACATGACTATTCCTAGTCGTTCTACCACCGGTGTTTGATTAATTTAAATTATTAGTGACTCTCGTTGCCTGAGGCGTGTGGGAACCTCTATTTACTGTGCTTATGCCGTACTTCATAATTTGTAAGGATGGATTATACCTACTGGATTCCAGTTCAGTCAATTACCCAACCACCAAGTATGTCGGACACAGATATTGAGGCTAGGATACCTCTTGTACTTCATGCCCTTCAAAGTGACTCAAAATTGAGTTTCGGACGCCCTGCAGGCTTCTACCAGGTCCGCTATTAGACTTTACATCGCTGGCAGAAGGGCATCCTTTTCACGCGTGGTTCTATCCCAAAATCACGCAAACTATCGGATCTAGAGGAAGTGATCATAATTCCGTTTATTATCGACCTATACTCGCGAGGGTTTCCCCCGCAACTGCTTTATGTGGAACAAATGACTAACCGATTGCTCGCCGACCGCGACGCGTCACCCGTAGGCAAGCGCCGGACTTCTAACTTTGTGAGACAACACAGACCTTAAGACGTGGTTCTCTCGTCGGCATGACTACTAGAGAGCTAAATGCGAAGATCTGACCGCTATCCGGAGTGGATTTAGGCTCCTAAAGAATATCATTGAGAAACATAGTATCCGACCAGATGAACTCTATCCCATCAGCTACTACAAGACTTCAGAAACCCCCCGTGCGAAGCAGCATCAATCAGTGTAATGACCAAGAGATTATAGCCTAATCAAATATTTCGTTTGTAGCAGCCGATGGGATAACTTTGACGAGACTGGTTTCATGCTGCGCCGGCGTTGTTGCAAGCGGCACGATTGTTACAGGCACGGAATGGCGTGTAAAACCGAAATGAATGCAGCCTGGAAACCGTGAATGGATTACTACCATTCACGCCATCAATGCGGAAGGTCAAGCGATCCCGCCGTTCATCGTAGGTGCCGGCCAGTATCACCTTGCTAATTAACACCGAGGAAGCAATCTGACGAACAATTAGGCTATCTTGACGAGCCCTAATTGCTGGACCGATAATGAGATAGACCTTAAGTGGCTAAAATACTTCGACCGGTGTACTACTAGGTAGTTAAAGAACCGTTATTGTCTTCTGATCCTGGATGTTGTTGTTGTTGTTGTTGTTGTTGTATTTAACGCCGTGGCGGCCGGGCTAGAGCCCTTACCGCAGACCTCCCGAAGGGTATATGGCGTGGAGGGCCGTGAGCCAAGGCTACCTACTCTACAGTACGTCGTCTCTTTACATCGTCCTCCAAATCATGCCTTGTGGCCACTACGCGTTCTGTCTGTCCCCGGTTCCCGCTGGTGCCCCAGTTTCATTCTTTCCCAAATCGTCCCTTGGAATCGGGAGGTTCTTTGTAGTCCGCACTCACATCTACCTAGGTGTGGATGCTGCTACCGCAGACAGATCTTCTGGAAGAAGTCCGTCACGCGGAGAAAGGCCTCGAAGCCTCGTGGGTCGGTGATTAATCTCTTGAAGTAGGCCTCGAGAGATCCCATAGGACCTATGGGCTCGGGCATACTGCGAGAGTGGAGGGTCGGCCACCGTTGCCTCCTCGCCAGCGTTAGTCGACAGTAGACCAGGTGGTCCACGTCTTTCGCCTCTCCACAAGAGCACATCATTAGAGCGTCGTCGTGGTTGAAACGTCGGTGATATTGCTCGAAGTCCCCGTGACCCGATCGTGCCGCCAGCAGGTGATGTAACGTAGCCCGCGGCAAGGCCAGTTCAGGAGGGCTGGACAGAGCTGCCTCAAGCCCCAAGTCCGCGTACCGCGGCCTTCGCTCTTTATACCACCATCTCCTGTGCTGGCTTTGTAATTTTTCCCTTGCAAGCCGCTTGATGCCCGCTAGTGTTGCCATTTGACCCATCCGCGCCGGCAGTGTCGTTCCTTCTTTGGCCAGCCGGTCCGCGG